TATCAGCCGACATACCAGCCGCCCGAAGGGGTTTATTTACTAAGTAGATGCGAAACAATATCACTTAGTCTCGTTTTCAACTCGCAATTCCACGCTAAATACCTCGCTTCGTTAACTAATCAGAACGCGAGATTTCATTCAAAGATGTGATTCTAGTCAATATCCCTCTACACCCTTACATCTGTATGCATATTCTTTAAACCTTTTTGTTTTCATTTACTTTATTCTCGTGACCTTAATTAGATGCTGGACACTCTTATTAAGGGTAACGAGTACGAGTTGAGGTTTAGATTCGATGTTGGTTGATGAGTTATGAGTCTCCTTTACACTTCATCATTACAAAAAAAAAAGAAAGTAGCTAACACGCATACCTTTGTGTGTAAGATCTTTTTTATAAGACAGTAAACTAGGAGACACTTCTGGTTCGAAACGGACGCGGGCTTTTTTCTCCACCCTTGTATTAACATCAGAACGAGGGCCTTTAACGCGGTCATAGCGAGAGATTGGAACGGGGGGTCGTTTGCGAGGGAGAGGAGTCTGGAGCGGGGAGTCTTCCGAGGACATCGAATTTTGAGGAGAGGTTTGCGTCCTGGTATTTTTTACAACTTTTTCTTTTTCTGTCAGCAATAATAAAAAAAAAAGAAAAAATCACAAAAGTTTGTCATTTATAAGAAATATGTGAAAGGGGTTACATCTGTGGACGATGAAGGGGGGGGGGGCGAGCAGGCTCCTTTGAGAGGAGATTTTGGTCAGTTCTTGGGATGCACTAGCACTTATCCAAGTTCAAGTCAAAGTGATGCTTCTACATAATAATGGCATTGAAGATGGTGTATTCTCACATGATGAAAATGGGAGATGTTTTCAGTCTGTGACACCCACATGCTCACAAAAAAACTAAACAGTTTTCAGTCAAACCTTCATAAAATGGCCACTGCAACACAGAAGTAACGGACTACTCCATCTAATTGTGGCAGCAGAGGTAGAGAAGCAGGGAATTCCAGTCAGAGGGAAGAGCAGATGGAAGGGTTATAGTTGGCAATTTATTTTCATTTGCCTTCCCAGGTTCATTTAGCAAAATAGTTGTCTTTTATTTAACAAAGACAGTGTCCTATGCATTATTTGCCCACCTCATAGTATTAAAAAAAAAAAGAGAGAGAGAGAAGCAAACAACGTCACACCAAAGGAAATCTTACCAAAGGCTGGTATAACACTTGGAGACAGCAAATGACTCTTAGGCTCATATGAAGGTTTGACGGCAGTGTAAGGTTGATAGTGTCCAGCTACAGTGTATTGTGGTTGAGCAAATTCATCCTGCCCTGATATTCTTGATGCACTGTGGTAAGATGATGCAACATGAGCTGGCTGGTACGCAGTGGTTGCCACAGTGGCCGTATGACTCACAGGTAGCATATTAGTGTTCATACAGGTGGATGGAAGTGCTGTTGCAGTTGTTTGTTGTTTGCCAGTTGGATAGGAGACTGGTGCTGACTGAGTGGAAATACAAAAAAAATTCATTAGCAAGCAGTTGTTCTAATAATAAGCCGCAGAGGATTTCTCAAGAGAAAGTTCCAAAGTGTTACAAAACTTCCAAAGAAAGTTTGAAACTTGTATCATTCAAGTGATCTTCAGTTTCAGTCAAGAAGCTCCTCCCATCTTACCGTATGATAATAATCTGCACTACTACTTGAGCAGGAATGGAGAAATGGAGAAACAAAATTCATAGGAGTAGAGTACTTAAGGAGGATGCCCATTTTTCTTCTTTCACCTCCTTTGCACTTTCCACTTTCCCTATCCCTTCTCGTTTACATCTACTGTGCAAGCCTTGCAAAGAGCTCAACATTTTGTCTCTTTTAAAACCTAACAGTTCTAAGACTGTAAATTTACACATTGTTATACACAATAGCTGAAAACCTTGATTCTAAACTTTACACACATGTACTTGGGTCTCCAGCATCTTGGCTTGTAGATCTTCAAGCCTCTTCAGTCGTTCTTCAAGCTGTTGTTGTAGTTTCTGCTCCTTTTCTTTGTCCTGTAACTCCTGTTGACTGTTTTGATTCTGTTGCAGAACTTGTAAGTTGTTTACAAGAGCAGAAATCTGAGCTTCCAAGGAATGCTGCAACTGAGAACAGAGAAATAAAATTCTAGATGCTACTGCTGTGCCATTAAGTAAATCATTTAATACTGTTCTACAAATCAATGATGAGACAAACTGTAACTAGTCACCTGTAGGAAAGGTCCAGTTGCTGCTGATGCAGCAGCAGCAGCAATTGCTGCCGCAGTGACTACAGGGTTGTCACTGCTCACTACACCTTGTGTGTTATTTGTCTCTCCAGCCTGTGATACTACAGTGGGCTGAACCAGTTTCTTGGCTGGCCTTCTTTCATCTTTTCTATTGATGTGCGAGTACACACAGAACAAAATACAAAGGTGAGTTAAAAAACAAGTTAGTGAAGTGATCTCTTCCTTCAGTTGAAGACAGCAAAATACAGTATGGCTGTTCATGACAACTCTAATTAACTTTTCGTCAGGGTGAGAAATAAGCAGAATCCAATGATAATGTTTTAACCAGCTTCCACTGATACAATCACAGGGGTTTCATTAAGGGCCAGGCACCGGGCAAATTGACCGGTTGTGAGGACGGCTTTGCCCACCTGATTTGACAGTCTGGAGGAAAGTTTATCTTATAAAGAAGTTCAGTTCAAAGAGTTTTGCCCGCCTGTGAAAACCAGTTGCCCTCCTGCAGAAAACATTAATGAAGCCCTTGCAATCATTTGGTGTCATTGTCCTGTACAGATTGACAGGGTCCAGCATAATAAGGAACATGTTGGCCAAGTGTGAGAGAACTTCAGAGATCTGTTAGGATGTGTTCAAATTCCTTTGAAAAGGAAAGTTTTCTTTTAACTCTTTCAATGACAAACCAGCCCCTGTTTAACGTCGCATGCAAGATATGACTGTTTAAATTCAAAACATTCTATCTGCTTTGAAAACTATCTCTTATTAAGCTAACAGGCCAGCCAATGAATCAATTTCAAACTCTTCAAAGAATCTAAGGTTAGGAAACATCTCTTCAAACCTTTTCAAGAACTGTTCTTTTAGAGCCTTTTCTTTGTCATTCAAAACAAACCGTTTGATCTTGACATCACCTAGGAGTAGAGTTCCAAAGCAAAATTGTAAGACAGTGCAAACTTTATGAGGAAAAAAAAAATTGCAACATGTAGTAACAGAAGGCAGTATCAAATGGCTCTAAGACTTGTAAAGGAATTTTCAATATTTACAATCTGTACATTTTTCACACTCACTTGCATTTTCTTCTCCAGGATTGAGAATTGGGACTCCAATCTTAGGCTGTCCTTGATACAAGCCTTTGGTGGGAATACTCTTCAATGGAATGAGAAATAACAAAAAGCAATGTTCAGGAGAAAAGTGTAATGAAAGAATAATTTATTAGCTGAAGTAAGTAGGCTGTTGGTGCTACATCTGCTTTTAGTATGGCAGCAATTTGTTTTCTGTTTTTCAATTCATCTCTGCCTCAAAACAAAATATATTCAACACTGTGCTCTAAGAAAAATTGAAGGAAGCCCAGTGCTCAGAAACTGTGAAATCCAGGGTGCCCAGCATATGCTTTATATGAAAAAACTAAGACTCCTGAGTCACCCAAGAGTAAAAGTAAGGTGCCAGGGGCCACTGAGTGCTGCTAGAACACAGCCCTGTTATTTGATTGTGGTTTTCAAGCCTTTTTAAGCTGTAAAACATCTTAGCTTATAAATAGTAACTTTACTTGCAGCGTAGACCACTTTCATAAATGGCTACTCGGTTAATATTCTTTTGTTTAAATTTAAATTAGCCCTTCTGGCCTCGCTTGAGATAATGTATTCTTTTGAATTTTGTACTGGAGAACGAGGCCAGAATGGCTAATTTAAATTTAAACAAAAGAATATTAATCCGGCAGCCATTTATGAAAGTGGTCTATTGGCAAGCATTTCATTTTCAAGAAAGTTGGTAGTAGTTGGGATGCACCCAGGTCACTGCAGCTATTATGAAGAAGACGCGATTGTTTGGAGGTTCAATTCATAATTGACTACCATGCAGCTATTGTGAGAGCCAGATGGTTCGAAGTACAATTCTTAAATAAATATTTTTGTCCAACTCTGTAGTTACCACTGGCTGACACAAAACTCTATCCACAAAATTTTCAAAGGTATTGATTTTTATAATTTACTTGATATTACCTTTTTTCCTTCATAGGCTTTGTCTGCATGAGCTTCATACTCAAGATGTTGTGCTGTGACTTGAGGTGTTTGTTTTGTGATCAGAATCCTATCTTTAGGTCTGTGAGAATCCACTCCATTCATCTTACCATTCACAAAATGTTCTCTAATAACAGGTTCTGAAGAAGTGTGACTGGAAGGCTGATCAGTTGAGTTTGACTCAACCCAGGCTGAAGGACCATTTACATGTCTGACAACTTTTACTGGAGACAGTCTAGTTACAATTTGCTCTTCGACTGGAAGTAAACAAGAGAGCATCATGTAATTCAGTGTTCTTTCAATAAAACCAAAGAAAGTGTACTTCCTGTATTAGATGTAACATAAGATATGTAATTTTATCTTTTGAACAATAAAGACACACAGACACACAGAACCAACAAAAGATCATACAACCCGGTAGACAAATCTAAATTTAAAGTATACATCCCACAAATACACCCAAAGTACTCTTCTCGTGAAAAAAGTTTGACCTGTAACATTTGAGGTCAAAAAAAAAAATTAAGTGAAGGTAACACTTAATTCAAGAGGCAAACGAGGCATCAGAGCTTATCTAAGTCTCCATAACAAGATCAAATAGGGGCATTGTTATTCCTTAATGATGGGATGCCAGTTCATCACAGGTTACCCCTTCACGCTTCTTCTGTACCCCTTTATACTCCTCTGGAGAGAGAGACACTGTTAGAGATGATTGTACTTCTCAAGAACAAAACACCTTGAATGGTTCAGGTCTTAATAAGTGATTCCAGTGCACATAGCATTAGGTGGATGGCAAACCTTCAGCAGGAATGTATATCGTGGAATGCACCAAAGCATTAATTTACAGTTGACGATTCGCAAAATCATCGGAGATTTTCACTAGCCATGAATCCAAAGTGGCACTTCCCACAATAATCAACGTTACCTCTGTCCATTTCCCTTGAAGTTTGTCTGGAATCGCCAGACGAGGAACTCCTCTCCATTGGAGACTTTATTTCACGAAGCAATTTTGAAGGTACTCGCACTCTCTGAGTTCCATTGAAAGTCAGATCAAGAGGTGACGATGAAGACTGGTCCTGTAAGTCGCCGCTGACATAGTCAACAACTCTGTCATTCGTTGTGGAAGTAGCAACAGACGGATTCATGGATGAAACTGGTTGATTGGCATCTTGTCGTTTGGGTGGTGTGGAAGTTCCTTGTGGCAACCCTCCTTTTATTTCAGGCTTTTTTCCCTTGTGGAAGTCTTGAACGCCCGACAGTGCATTCACAGCAGCGCTTGTTAGAGAGAGTATCTGTCTAGAATGCTCCATTTTGCAGAAAGTCACAAACAAACTCGTCTTTCCGTTGTACTCCTCAGACTCGTTACAACTTCACAGCTAACGTCATTTATATTTTCCTTATTCTCTTCCATTCTTCAAATTATAAAAAAATCATTAATGAGAAATATTCATTTCTTCATGGTGATCATCGACCGAAAGGTTGTAAAATGCCTCTCTTCACACAGAGTAGATTGACACCAAATCCCCGCCATTTTTAAATTTTCAAAGCTCCATTGCCAGCGATAAAAAAATTGCTAACACAGCGGTCTAATAAATATAAGGAGCGGCTGCTAAGTCAAAAGCTGTGTTGTCAGCAATTTGTAAACAATCTTACCTCAACATGGAAGTACCAGCTGAACTTTCTCTTCTTGAAGAACTGGGCGAAATTATTGGAAGTCTTACCACTTCTGGTAATCCATCATTGAACAGTGATCTCCTAAAGAAACTAAAGAACATCTGTAAGAAATCAGATGTTTACGTCAAACACGCTTACCACTTGATTCTAACACAGCTGAAGAAGAACCACGCAGAAATACGACTTTCTTCATTTCAGATCGTCAATGAGCTCTTTCTTCGTTCCCATGCCTTCAGAGAAATGTTGCTGATTGATTTTCAGATATTCTTGGAACTGACATTAGAGACAGATTATAAGCAGCCTCTACCGCCCCCAGCATCTGCCGCAAAATTTTTGAAGGAGAAAGCCCTGGAGGCCGTAGATAGCTGGCATCGGAAATTTGGACCTCATTACAAGAAACTAGATTTAGGTTACAGTTTTTTAAAGAGGGTTAAAAACGTTGAGTTAAGTGATCATTTAGCTCGAAGTCAAGCTGAAAGTCGCCAAGTAGAGGAAAGGGAAAGGCGAAAAAGGAACATTATTATTGGACAGATTATTCGTGTTGAAAATGAGATGTCAGAAATGATCAGCGAAATGGAATTGTGTGCTACCGAAATCGAGAATTGCTTTAAGCTTTTGTTGCCCCACCCAGATGAATATGAGGTTCACTGTGCCGAGGAAACTGCCTTATCTGAACTTGAACAGATTACTGGCACAGGTGCCAGTAAAAGTCAGGATGCCACAGAGATCACCAAGAATTTAAATGGAAACCAAACGCCTGACAGTAGAGAAGAAGAAAAAATCCCTGACCAAAGTCAGGATAGCATTGCTAAAGTGGATGCAGATGAGGAGCTGGTGACTGATCATGGATTGGGAACAAGGTCATATCAGCTGACCATCAGATTAGACAAGACTGGAGCGGAAATTAGAGAAACAACTGATAACAGCATTGTGTTAAACGCGACACGGGAGTTTTACAAAGAAATGACTCATAAACATCTACCCATGATCAACAAGTGGATTTCAGTGTTGACTAAAGGAGAAGGAACACAGCAGAAAATTCAAGAACTTATTGATCTTAAAAGGAAATTAGAGATGGCAAAAACGAAATTCCTGGAGTTGAAAATAACACCTCTACCTGACACCAAAAACAGTCAAAGCACTTCAACAGAGAGTAGCAGTGATGAAGATGATGACACTGAAAATTTTGAAGATGTTCCAGAAAGGGAAGATATCGAATTTCTGGTTCCTCCAAACCAAACAGCTGGAAAGGATCCAAAACCATCAACTAGCACTCAAAAGACATTCACCGGTAAACATTAAACATTGGATAGGTTTTGTAAAGAATCCAAATTATTTATTGATTGTGATAATATCTATTCATGTGACAAAAATGTGTTTTATTTTTATTTATTTATTTATTTTTTTTTTTTGCAGTAGCTCTATGGAATCAAACTATTGTTCTTTCTTTAAGGGCTCTACCTGAGGTTTGGCTAAAATACATTGGTTGCTGAGTGTAATTCTCTTCTCTTTTTGAACAGAATCAAGATCCAAAATATCTGGAAAGAATGACACTAGCTTACTGAAGAAGTTTGGAGCTAATCTCCAGGAACTGGGTGACCCCACATCTCGTGCTACTGCTCTCTTTAAAGTGAGGGACAAACTGTCAAACACAGACTCATTTTCAGTTCCTGATGAAAATTCTAAGAAACCAATAGATGAAAGGAAAAAGAGGTTACTTGAAAAAGCTCCAGTTGTGCCATTTGACATGGATCTCTATTTTTGGGAAGACCCATCCGCTGAATCACATAAGATTGTCAAAATGTATCTTGATAACAACTGGGCATCTAAGGAGCATGAAGGTGAATATCTTGTCGGCGATGAGAAAGAGGCTAGACCAACTCGAATGGTCACATTTGCAGGCAGCTTTGAACCTGTTAAGTGGTCATGCCGTGTACCTTTACCAAGCGGTAAGCTTTGTCCCAGACGTGACAGAGTGAAATGCCCCCTCCATGGCAAAATTATACCACGAGATGAAACTGGTAGCCCCATGAGTCATGACAATGCTATATCTGATGCCACCACTGAAACTTCAGAAAGAAACAGCCAAAGTGTTAATGCTGAAGAAGATAAAGGTTCATCTACAGTGGACTGGAAAGAGATTCAAGTTGAGGTTGAAGCAGCCACTGGCCTGGACTTGGGAGGCAAAAATAAACGAAAACGTAAAAGTCACTCTAAGGCGAGTGGCAAAAAGGAGTCTGGTCTGACAGATATTAAAAAGCAAAAGAACACAGTAAGAAATCGCCTGGGAAAGATTGTGATGAATAAGAAAGCTATGCGTCGTGTGGCGGATCAAATGGATGCCATTGCCACAAAAAGATGCGAAGAAAAATTTGCTAATCAATTTAATTATTCCTTGAGAAAGTAGCATGACTTGTCTTGAAAGAAAAGCCTAAGAAGACCTTAGACATAAATGCCTGACTTTCAAAGGTTTTAGAGAAAAAGCAGTACATGAAGAACCATTGTTTGTCTCAACTGAAAAATTATTGAAGAAGGCCTCAGTCATAAATGCTGTTTATTTTGATTCTCAAAGCATAAAATTTCAACTTCTTTGTATTTGTCCTGACTGTCAAAGGTTTCAAGGAAAAAGCATTTGATGATTCATGAAAGACTTTTTTGTTTAACTCAGCTTAGAAGTAACTGCTGAATTGTTTTTGTCATCAATCAAAAATTGTGCCCTACAACAGAGATATTAATCAGTTATATTATGTAATTACATACAACATATAAACATTAACTTACACTGTAGTAAGGAGATTTTGTAACAATGACAACATGGAAGAAAAAAAGTGAATGACTATAACTCTTGTTCAACAAGTTCACTCAAGTGTGAAGTTATATCCCCAGGTGAAGTGGATATTTCCTTCACCTTTTGCATCGATACACCATTTACTATTAAAATAGCCAGTACATAAAATTATATGTAGTGACTGAATAAAACATTACTTGAAAAGGATTTTATGAGCATTAATTTATATTTTAATCAAAGAGTTCTGCTGTGGAATGAGTCTAACTCAAGCACTTGTTTTAAGAGCAATCACCTCAAAGATATTTTCATCTGAGGGGGGTTTTTCAAAAGTATTTCCATCTGAGTGGGGTAGGGAAGAGTTCAGTTATTGGCACTGTTCAAACACAATTGGACAATAATTATCACTGTGTCTTCTGGACAAGACAAACAGTGCTGTGTTGTGGTTTGCAGATTCACCCCAAAAAATTTGAAGGCCCTTTGAAATAGCACTTTCTACCTACACCCTCCTACCTCCGAGTCTCCTTGTAGATCCCACCAACTCGGAAAAACATGACCGAGAAATCCTTGGGAACGAGGTTAATGGCAGGGAGAAACTGGGTATGACATATACCATCAACCCTTTAGAGCTGTAATCAATATGGCGGATCTCCACGAGGGGAAGATACTCCGAAATTTTGTATTTTTGAGCCTGTTTGCCAGTCGCTGATAATAATAGTACACTAACTACAGCCTTTGAGACCTTTTTGGAATATTTAAAACCTTAACTAGCCATATATATCGAGACTTGATCATAATGCAGTCCGGCCCAAGTCAGCATCAGGAGATGGAGGTGAAACAGGTAGAAACCAAAAAAACTTTTCTTCGACCCCCTGATTTCAAGATTTTTAAGGATATAGCCGACTTTGGTTCATTGATCTATTGCCTTAAATATACTTTCGATTTCTTTGGGATTTCCATTGGAATTATTTGACACAGAGGCCGAAAACGGGATCGGATATTTTTTCAACTTTATTTTATTATGCATTACCAATGTGTCTAGAAGTCCTTCTCTTCTTAGTTTTAGGATAGAGCCCTAAATTGTGGACTATAAAAGGCTTATTTGCATAGATAAAGCTATTAATTCAGATTTGGTAGAATTTTTAATGTCCCTCATGTCTGTTTAAAGTGATTTGTTTTGGTGTGGGTGTTACGAAAACTAATAGCCTCGAAAACGAAGACCTAAGACCTAAGACCTGTCTTAGTTTTCGAGATTATGAAAACTAAGACCCCCTAAAATCGAATCCGTCGAAATATAAAGTCAAATTGTAACCAAAAGTGGTCTAATCTGTCAAATTATCTCCTGTCCAATCCTTTCCACCAAGTTGTATGTCAAATTTAACAGTAAATTTAAGGGTCTTAGTTTTCGTAATTTCAAAAACCAAGACCCCTCTTAGTTTCGTAGTTACAAAAACTAAGACCCCCACCAAACCATTCTGTAAAATGTCTACAAAGTCAAATTACGACCGTGGACATTTAATTAAGAACCCACAGAAAGCTCATATTCGATCAATCGAGCAAAAACACTGCTGTACTTGCAATATGGGAAAGCGCTAACATCGATTTTATGTTTCCAAACAAAGGAGTTAATCACCAACACCAGAAATCGCAACCAGGTATTCCTTGCGACTCCCCAAGGTTTGTTTTCCAATTTGTCCTGGCAGTGGCCAGGATAAATTGGAAAACAAACGTGTGTAAAAACGAAACTTGTGAAGTGGAACTAGTGTGGCTACTGTTGCTTGCTAATATTATCCGTCGGCAAAACGTAGAAGTCAGTAAATGTGACTGATTCTGCCAGGGAAATTTTATTGTGTGGAGCTTGGACTTGTCAGGAGAGTTTCCTTGACAGCTGGATTACACCCCATGTTGTGAAACCGTTTGTGAAGACATCACGTTTTATCTTCCCTTTTTTTGTCACATTTCTTTGCTTTGTGATGTTATAGTAACACGGGAAATCTAACTGGATTTATTATCGAATGTGAGCTTTCTGTGAGCTCTTAATTTAATGTCCACGTGCAATCCTCCAAAACCTTATGTGTGTGCATAAGTTATTCAGCACTCTCACAGATAATGCAATCTCAATGGCAGAGACACGTAGAAATACATCCATCTCCAATGGAAAGTCAATTTTACGATTTAAAGGATAAACATCAAAATTAAAGATCAATTGTGGTAAGGCATATTTTCAGTGTACTATTATACGCAGGTAGTGTATGGCTTTCATTGTCTTTATTAAGCCACAATGCTGAAAATATATGTCTGCAAATTGTTAGAAGAAGTGGCTCGTCTAGCATATGTACGATTGTAGTTTTTGGTTGTTTTACGGATTATAGTCTTTGAATGGTCGTAATTCGACTTTGTAGATATTTTACAGACTGGTTTCATGGGGTCTTAGTTTTCGTAATTACAAAAACTAAGAGGGTCTTAGTTTTTGAGATTACGAAAACTAAAACCCCTAAATTTATCCTAAAACTCGGTGGAAAGGATCAGACAGGAGATAATTTGACAGATTAGACCTGTTTTGGTTACAATTTGACTTTATATTTCGACAGATTCAATTTTAGGGGGTCTTAGTTTTCTTAATCTTGAAAACTAAGACGGGTCTTTGGTCTTCATTTTCGAGGGTCTTAGTTTTCTTAACACCCTTGTTGTAGTTGTTCGTTAAACCATGTCATGACTTATTCATGGTGTACATTCTATGATTGCTTCTCTTTGAATTTGATGTCTTGTTTTTTTGCAGTTTCAAAACTTTCTGCAATACTACAACAAATTGACAGAGTTGTGCTTCACAGATTGTATTCATGACTTCACCAACAGAAAGATTTCAACAAATGAGGTAAAAAATGATCACCATTACCCTTTGTGGTAAATACTTGGGCTCACAGCAAAAGCTACTGAAACAACTCATTGAATGCACAGCTCTTTAATTCAGTGTCCAAAGAAATATATGTACTAAGATCTTCCAGCATTCCCCCTTCCAGGGAGGGAGACTGGCCTTGTATACCCCATAAAGAAGGCCAAATGTGGAACAGCTTCCCATCCATGTGATGAGAAATTTCACAAGTGGGCTGTGACATTAAACTGTCAATTCTAACATTTTTTTTATATATTTATTTTTCGCAGAATAATTGTGCTATCCATTGTAGTGAGAAATTTTTGAAAGTTATGCAGAGAGTAGGAGTCAGAATACAAGAAGTCCAAGTAATGCAAAATGAAGGTATCCTTGGTGCTCCTGACCCTCCTAAATGATAACTGAACTTTCAGTGAGCTGGATTCAAGACTGTCTTTGTTCAAAGACTCTCAGCTACAGGCACTAAACTTAAAATACTAAAGGATGAGTGTTGCGTTATCATCCAATGATAAAAAGTTTAAACTCTTGCATATGGAAGCTGTAGGTGTGATTTTGGACTAGTGGCCAGGCTCCAGTGGTTTGAAGGAAGGATAATGCTGTCCACCAGATAAATCTCTATCCAGTGGCTAGTGCAGCTTATTTGGTTAGCCACAGAATAGTGGTTTATCCATTGGACAGCATTATTTGCTCTTTAACAACTGAGCCCAGATTTATTGAAGATGGCGAGTGGTTTTCATCAGCCGTTAAGTGGCGAGGAAAGGATACTTGTAAAGATAAATCGCACAAGTCAGTCTATTGGACAGGTTTTGAATAAAAGTAACCTTTTACAATTTGCTTGTCAAAACATTTATTTATTGGGAAATATTCACTGATCTTGTCGCAAATATGTGTGTTCTTGACAAAGTCCAAGAAAGTTATAGATAATTATATTAACATAAATTTTTTATCTCCAAAATTCAAGAAATATTTTCAGAAAACATTTTTGTACAAAAATCATTGACAAAAAATTTGCTTTTCTCTAACCCATACAAACTAAAAATATTAAGCACCTTGAAACAAACAATAACCATATAAAAACTGAAAAAAAAACACTTCATATTATGATATTGACACCAGTGAAATACCAGGTGAGCTTTCGCACAAAAACATGCTATTTTCACACATAAAAATAACCTGTTAATATAGTTACATAATAAATGCCACCTTTTGTAGCAAAACTGAAATAGTTTGGTTTTTCATTGGTGTTTATATTAATAATAATAGAATATAACATTGCTGCTTGGAGATAAAAATTTTTTTTTCTCATGTTGAAAAGTATTTCACGGGTGAGTGAAGCACACAAGTGAAATGTTTTCCAATACTCAAACAGAAATTTCATTTCTCTGCACAGCCATGTAACATTCCTCTGTATCTACTTGCTGTTAAAATAGGCCATTTCTGAATTACGTTTGGCCTCTTTTTCAACACAAGGCCTGGTGCGCAACCATACATATGAAAATGAGTTTAATTTGCATGTGAATGAAAACTTATTACCATACAAAAGGATGAGCATCAGGACTCGCTTTGAAAAAGAAGCTAAAGGCAATTTGGAAATGGGCTATTACAATGAGCACTGACAAAATTCCTGGTTCCCATGTACACAGCCTGCTCAGCACATCTCATTTGGATTCCCCTTGGTAGGTTCCAAGGTCACATTATTTAGGAATTCTCCTTTGTGTCTGCCTTACAATTCTTATAATGTTAGTTCTGAGAATTTGGTTTTTGATCAACTAGTGATCCCCTATTTGATACTTTTCCTTATTTTACTTGATATTGTAAAGATATTGTGAGGAGAAAGTCTGTCTTGGTCACTTATGTTAGTTTAAGAGTCAAATTCATATTTAAGGATAAACTTCAAATTTGCAGCTGTTTTTTGGGAGGTCACACAATGTTGAGAGACTATTCTAAAGAATAGCTACATGCTATAGAGGTAATGTTAAGCATGTACAGTTACAAGCTAAATCTATAATTTTAGAAGTCAACCAGCTAGCCAGGACAACATTTACTTGCCTTAGAGGGAGGAAGGGCTTGACTATAAGTTTCATCAGTTTGATACTTTTGTGAAAAGTCAACCATATAACGCGAGTCATAAGACATCTGTGTTGGAGACTGTAACACCGTTCCCCGCAAGGCTATACAATCATCAAGATTAGGTTTTGTGCTTTCACCAGACACACTTAAGATGGCTTGCACCAATAGTTGCATTGCTTCATCTGAAAAGGAATTTCATTAACATTTTACATTTGACTTCAACTTCAAGTCTGGTGCTTGTCATAAAGTAGCAGAGAAGTGAGGCTAAGGGAGGGACACACCCATTACAAAAAACCATAATTAAGGTGTTTGTGGACCCTTAACTATAATAATGTACTAGACAATTCCTCATGCCATTGCAAGCAAAATTGTGCTTCTTAACTTCACAAAAATGTGACAAGTAAATGGTGTACCTCTCTAAAAGCATACTTGACTCAAAGGGAATGGAGCAGCTTTTGCCCATATTTAACCTCTCAAGTTAACATGCATTCTCCAAAGCTTAAGAGCCACTGACCACAAATATCAAGAATCCACCGACAGTTGCAAAGTTTCGTTATTCATTTTATTTTTTCTAAAGGACCCTTTTAATGAACGTTTTTTGGAAATTATATAAAAAAGTTCTATAACACTATTTTTTTCTCCGAAAAATCGAAAAGTTCAAAATATGCCTAAATGGCCGGTCCCCCCCTCCCCCTGTAAAGCAATGAAAAATTATGCAACTTTAGCAACTCCGTACGCTGCAACATAATCCCGCTTTTAAATTTTGTGTGCTAGCAGATGGTTCTTTTATCTCTTCGAAAATATTAATTTCTCGTTATGTTGTTTCGTTTAAGTCTCAATAGTGACCCATTGAAATAAAGTACTTCACGTCTCTTTTGCGGAGGTAAAATATAGGTCAACTTCAGTGGCCTATGAACAGGTCTGCCACATATACTTAAAAATCATAATGTACATCATCTTAAAGTTTTATCTTTTTATTTTAATTCCACCAATTCTCAATCTTGGCTAAAAAAGAGTTTGGGCTATTTTGTCAAAATTGCAATGCGAACCGCTGAACAGCTGTCATGACCCATTTAAAGGCCTTTAAAAAGGTCTTGTATGATATATTTACAAATCAAAATTTATATCTTCTTTAAGCTTTATCCTTGTAGTTTCAGTCCTCTAAGTTTCTTTCTTGGGCCACCATAAGCAGCACGTCCAGCTTTGAAAGAGTTCAGGCTAAAATGATAAAAAATGTAATGCGATCAGTTGAATGACTGTCATGCAGGAGGTCACGTATTTGGTACACTCCTGGCCAAGCTGAAAGATTGGCTGTGACCTCTTGCATGACAGCCATGTAATGGATTGCATTACATTTTTTGTCATTTTTTAGCCTGTACTCTTTGACAGCTGGACATGCCACCTATGGCTGGCCAAGAAAGAAACTTTGAGGAATTAAACTATAAGGATAAAACTTTAGGATGACATATATTTGGTTTGTAAATATATCATACAAGACATTTTTAAAGGCCTTTATTTTGCCTCCGCAAAAGAGACCCTAAGTACTTTATTTCAACGGGTCACTATTCAGACTTAAATGTAACAACATAACGAGAAATCAATATTTTCGAAGAGATAAAAGAACCATCTGCTAGCACACAAAATTTATAGGTGGGAGTACCTTGCATTGTAGCATA